TAGTAGTAGTAGTAGTAGTAGTAGTAGTAGTAGTAGTAGTAGTAGTAGTAGTAGTAGTAGTAGTAGTAGTAGTAGTAGTAAGTAGTAGTAGTAGTAGTAGTAGTAGTAGTAGTAGTAGTAGTAGTAGTAGTAGTAGTAGTAGTAGTAGTAGTAGTAGTAGTAGTAGTAGTAGTAGTAGTAGTAGTAGTAGTAGTAGTAGTAGTAGTAGTAGTAGTAGTAGTAGTAGTAGTAGTAGTAGTAGTAGTAGTAGTAGTAGTAGTAGTAGTAGTAGTAGTAGTAGTAGTAGTAGTAGTAGTAGTAGTAGTAGTAGTAGTAGTAGTAGTAGTAGTAGTAGTAGTAGTAGTAGTAGTAGTCGTCGTCGTCGTGTCGTTGTTGCTATCGTTGTTACTGATCTCGTTGTTGTTGTCGTTGTTGCTGTTGTTAGTTTTTTTTTGTTTCGTTGTTGCGATGACTGTTGTTGTTGGTGGAGGTTGTTGTTGTGGTTGTTGTGGTTGCTGTAGCTCGTTGCTGTTTGCTGTTTGTTGCTTGTTGTTTGTCATTAGTTATTTGTTGTTTGTTGTTTGCTGTTTGTTGTTTGCTGCTTGTTGCTTGTCGTTTGTCGTTGTCGTTTGTTGTTTGTTGTTTGTTGTCGTCGTCCCGCCCGCGACCTGGCCCGCGACCCACCCGCGACCCATACGCGACCCACCCGTGACCCATCCCGCGACCCGCCCGCGACCCGCCGGCGACACACAACGCGACCCACCCGCGACCCAACCGCGACCTGGCCCGCGACACACCCGCGACCCACCCGCGACCCACCCGCGACCCACCCGCGACCCACTCGCGACCCACCCGCAACCCACCCGCGACCCCCGCAGGGATGCTTCTTGGGGTCTGTCGGGAAGGCTCTCGGGGGCCTGCGAGGAGGAATTTTGAAGTCTCTTGGGAGCCTTTTGAGTGCCCCTTGGGAGCCTCCTGGGGGCCTCTTCCGTCTTCCTCGGGGCCTCTTCTGGGCCTCTTGTGGCCTCTTGGGAACCTCTTGGGGCCTTCTGCGAGCCTCTTGGGGCCAAGGGCTCGAAATGTCCTTTCGGGTCCCCCGTCTGGGCACGCCTTGGAGCCGTCTTGGGGGCCCCTTGTGCTGTCTTGGACGCGTTTTGGGCTGTCTTGGGGTTCTGTTGGGCTGTTTTGGAGCGCTCTTGGAAGCCTCTTGGGCAGTCTTGGGGCGATCTTGAGGGTCTCTTCTGGAGTCTTGAGCGGCGGGAAGCGAAAAAGGCGTCAACGCCTCTTCAAAAACCGAAGGATAATCGATGAATCTTGCCTCTTGGGGCCCTCTCGGGAGTGCCCATGGAGGCCTCTTGGGGCGTTTTCGAGGTCTCCTGGGCAGTCTGGAGGGCGTGACCGCGTTTTGGACTGACCGTCTGGCGATTCGGGGCCCTCTTGGCCCGTCTCGAGGGCTTCTTGGGGACTCTTGGCCTGTTTTGTTTTTTTGTTGCGGCCCCGAGACCCCCAGAGGAGCCGCGGAATGCCAAGGGGCGAATGCGTATCTGACCCGGGACCCCCCCCAGGACCCCCCCCGATGGGAGAGGGATGAAAGGGAAGGGGCTTCCCTTCGACTCGATTGCGACATTACTCCACTACGACGTTTCTCGATTTCCTTCGGGCTGGCGCGCTTGAGGGGGAGGGCCCAAGGTGGCGCAGGCAGAAAGGGAGCGACGACTATGACGACGACTCAAACGGAAAATTCCTTCACACACGCCGACAGCGTCGGCGGATTCTCATCCTTTGGTAGTGCTTATGCTCGCGTTCAGAAGCGTAGGTATGCCTCCATCTTTCGCGCTGCCTCTCCCTCTGTCTCTCTTACGTTCTCCCTCTCTCTCTCTCTCTCTTCCTCGCCCCTGCCCCCGGCGCCAACGGCGTGTCACCTGAGGGCACAGCCTTCCTCGATTCGGTCTCGGGCCGGAAGCAGAAAGTGCGACGCATAATTGGTCAAAAACCACGTGAGCGTTCGGGGCCGCGCTGATGCATGTCTGGCTCTGGCAACCGTGCTTTCCGACACGGCGATCCTGGGAATTGTTTATTTGGGCGACCCCCTCCTCCTCTTACCATCCCTCCCTCCCCCTCACCCCCCTTCTTTCTTCCTCGTCCTCCTCCCACTGCTTCCTTGCCGCGTCCTTCTTTCTGCCTAGATGCGCAAATCTTTATCGTCGCTCCATGAGACGTGCCGGTAGGGCTGGCCAGGCGTTTCTGGTGAGATCTCCAACATTTTATGATCACGAAGTTTCTTCGAACAGCCACACGGAGTAATGGCGGGTAGTTTTCGGATTGCGGCTCTCACCTTTGCGCCGCGCGCTTTCGTCGTACAGTGTCGGAGCAGGTACACAGATGGAGGGCGGTTCGTTTCGAGCATGTGGTTCGCCTACTAGTGCCACGCACATTGGTTGTGCGAGCTTGAAGCAAGCATGCGGGGGGAGGGCGGGTCAGTTTCAACATGTGGATTTCAATGTGATCGTCTCGCGCTTTCGTGTTTCGAAACGCTTGCGTGAGTTGAGGGGAAGCCGTCTTCAAGTTATGTTGCCCTAGCGCCGGGCGCATTCGTCTTAAACGCTTGCAGCCGTTTCATTGATGGATGGAGGTATCTTTTTCAACATGAGTCTCCCGATTGAGACTGGTGCAGAGTGTATGGAAAGAGCTTCAGAGTTGCGCAGCAGTAGCACGGATGAGGAGCTCCTTGCCAGATTTGTGTACCGTTTGAGACTTCCTCGGGGGCGAAGCCTTGATCCTCGAGTCTCCTCCTCCTCCTCCTCCTCCTCCTCCTCCTCCTCCTCCTCCTCCTCCTCCGCCGAGGATGTGTTTGTTCCATCCGCGGCCCCGGAGATCTCGACCCCTTCCCATGCCTCGTTTTCTTTCGTCCAGGATCCGTTTTCGATGGTCCCAGGGCCCGAAGACGTCCCAGGTGGCAAACTTTGAGAATACGCCGCAATTCGAATCACTAAGTCTTCTGAGGCCTGGACATCCTCCTCTAGGATAGGCGGTCTGTCCACTCGAAGGGCGGCTTCCTCCTCTCGGATTGGAGGGCCTCTTCCTTGGATTGCAATGGCAATGTCTCCATTCCTTTGGGACTAACATGCCCCTTCAGACGGTTTCCGATGCTTGGACTTGTTCCATGCGGGGCCCCTGGAAGCCCCGACCTTTTCTCCTGGGCTTGCTTTTCATCCCGAGTCTTTTTGACAGTCTTGGGGTACGGCGAGGGCCCAACCCTCCTTGGTTGGGTATTCGTTTTGAACAGAGGGGTGTGGTCGCGTCCTCCTCCTGCCCCCCCCTGTGGTCGCCGTCCCTGCGAAACTGTCGCCACTTTCGAGGGCTGCTGGTGGGTCCTGCGGAGTGAGGCACCGCGCGGATCTGAGCAATACCTCGCCGTGCCTGGGGGGCTGCGATCTGCGAAACCGTCGCCACTTTCGAGGGCTGCTGGTGGGTCCTGCGGGGCGAGGCACCGCGCGGATCTGAGCAAGACCTCGCCGTGCCTGGGGGGCTGCGATCTGCGAAACTGTCGCCACTTTCGAGGGCTGCTGGTGGGTCCTGCGGGGCGAGGCACCGCGCGGATCTGAGCAAGACCTCGCCGTGCCTGGGGGGCTGCGATCTGCGAAACTGTCGCCACTTCCGAGGGCTGCTGGTGGGTCCTGCGGGGTGAGGCACCGCGCGGATCTGAGCAAGACCTCGCCGTGCCTGGGGGGCTGTCAAGGGGTTGGGTACGTCGCAAGGGTAATTGTTTTTTTGCCAAGTCTCTTGTGTGTTTACCAACCCCCCTGTGGTCTCCGCCTCCACTCTCTCTCCTCCCGCCTCCACTGCTGCTCCCTTGGTGTCTGCGAACTGCGCACCTGTCGCCACTTTCGTGGGCTCCTGGGAGGTCCAGCGGAGTAGGGGAGTACGCGCATCCAGGCGAGACCTCGCGGCTCCCTGGTTGGCTGCGACCCGCGTAATTGTCGCCACTTTCGTGGGCTCCTGGGAGGTCCAGCGGAGTGGAGGTGTATGCGCATCCAGCCGAGTCCTTGCGGCTCCCTGGGTGGCTGCGAATTGCGCAGCTGTCGTCACTTTCGTGGGCTCCTGGGAGGCACGGCGGAGTAGGGGAGTACGCGCATCCAGCCGAGACCTCTCGGCTCCTTGGGAGGCTGCGGACTGCGCAGCTGTCGACACTTTCGTTGGTTCCTGGGAGGTCCAGCCGAGTAGGTGAGTACGCGCATCCAGTCGAGACCTCGCGGCTCCCTGGGTGCCGGCGAACTGCGCAACCGTCGGGGAGCATGCGCATCCAGCCGAGACCTCTCGGCTCCCTGGGTCGCCTTTTTCGTGGGCTCCTGGGAGGTTCAGCGGAGTGGAGGTGTATGCGCATCCAGCCGAGACCTCGCGGTTCCCTGAGTGGCTGCGAACTGCGCAATCGTCGCCACCCTTGTGGGCTCCTGGGAGGTCCAGCGGAAGCGGTAGTCACGCGAGATCTCGCGGCTCCCTGAGAGGCTGCGAACCACGTAATTGTCGCTACCCTCGTGGGCTCCTGGGAGGTCCAGCGGAAGCGGTAGTCATGCGAGATCTCGCGGCCCCCTGGGAGGTTGCGAATTGCGCAACTGTATCCACTTTCGTTGGCTCCTGGGGGGTCTAGCCGGGTCGGGGGCCACGCGCACCCATTTGAGACCTCGCTGCTCCCAGGGATGCTGTGAACTGCGCAATTGTCGCCGCTTTCGTAGGCTCCTGGGAGGTCCAGCGGAGTCGGGGGCCACGCGGATTCAGCCGAGACCTCGCGGCTCCCTGGGAGGGTACGAGCTGCGCAAGTGTCGCCTCTTTCGTGGGCTCCTGGGAGGCACGGCTGAGATGAGGGCATATCTGGCGATGTGCACTTTCGTAGGGAGTGTTCATGCAAATATTCGCCTCGCGCGTGGAGAAGGGGTTGGGTGCGTCTCGGGTAACTTTAATACGCTGGATGTCCGTGTCTCCTTCTCCGGGACTGGAGTGCCTCCCTTGGGATGCTGGCGGAGGCCCCCGCCGAGGAGGACGACAGTGCGGAGAGCATAATCCTCGAGGGCGAGGAGGGCGAGGAGGAGGAGCCGCGGGTCGGGCTCTTGGCATCTTTGTGGGTGGGGAGGTGGAGGTGGAGGAGGGAGGAGGGTGGAGGTAGGAGGGAGGAGGGATGAGGCGCAGTAGTAGTAGTAGTAGTAGTAGTAGTAGTAGTAGTAGTAGTAGTAGTAGTAGTAGTAGTAGTAGTAGTAGTAGTAGTAGTAGTAGTAGTGGTAGTGGTAGTGGTAGTGGTAGTGGTAGTCGTAGTAGTAGTAGTAGTAGTAGTAGTAGTAGTAGTAGACGTAGTGGTAGTAGTAGTAGTTGTCGAAGTA